GGGATCGTCTGTTTAACCTAATTTTTGTCCAACGATCAAATTGTTTAGGTTATTGTTATAAAATATTATTGCAACATAATAGACTCATTGATGGAGATTTATTACCAAATTAGACCTCCCTTGGTTATGTTTTCACAACTTCAGTTACATTTAGTGTTCACAAGTGTCATTACATTGTTTCATCGAAGAATTCCAGTCGTGCATGTATTTGTTGTTCTTTCGAAAATATCCAATAAAGGTCGTTCATAGAACTGAGAAAGGCAAATCATCCAGATTTCATGCAAAACAGTTGGTGAATATAAAAATTTCGTTTCGAATCAATCTAAAAACTTTCCGGAACACTCGCCATTATTTGCTACATTATTTCCGTTTTTCTTTCACATAGAATAATTTTGGCAGCAGTTCGGATCCATTTCGAATTCGTTTTGTTCGAATTCATTGTTTTCTGAAGCAAGAAAAACATTCATGAGCGTTACTATGCGGTATTATAGTTTCTTGAAATTCCATTTTAGCAATTTCTTTGCACTTATCGGGGTTTTTTTTATATTTTTTTAATATTCTCTAGAATTTTGTACGATTTGATCAAGGATTGGAAACTTTTTTCGCTGATTGTTCGCCTGCAGTTCTAGTGTCAGTCAGGGTCATCAAGTATTTATTGTCATCAATGTTTTATGTTGGGTAATAAGAATTATTCGATTGGTCTATTTCCGTCAGTGAGTATTTATGAAGGACCAGCTAAGTGTCCATTTGTATATATATATATATATATATATATATTATTCACACATAAACCACAATATCGTTGATTGGAACGCGGAATTAAGCGTAATTTTGGTTTTGAAATGTGCATTAGAATTTTTTATTATTATTTACTGATACCGGTCAAGTAAAACATCGTTTCAGTTATAAGTTCAAGCATGCGATGTGACTAAACCCGTATCTTGATATTAGCAAACCTTATTAAAATTTGGAAGAAATTTGTCTATTTTTGATTTTTGATTTTTTTGCGCTGTTTTCAATGAGGTTGCTAAATTTTAATACAAATTGTCGTATCGCTAAGTCTGAGTAAAAGTTTTAACTTGATGTTTTTAATGTTTGAAATCGAATTGCGGTAGTATTTCAGCTCATTTCTATGCTTATATTGATTTCCACATCAATTCTCCCCAATTTTTCATAGAGCCACATCAGCTCGGCAACTGATTTTAACATTTTAATATTAATATTAATATTAATATTTTAATATTAATATTTTACCTGATTACGAAATGGTTAAATCAGTTAATTCCAATTGAATAGCGTTAAAAAAAGGAAAAATCGCTTAAAAAACAAAATAGCTAGATACTTCTTTCCAAAGGCTATGCTATTATTCCCAAATATTCTCATCGAAGAGTGAATTAATACCTAAGGGCATTTTCTAAGAATAATTAATCGGCCAATAAATCTTATTTTACTTATATATTAATTTGCTAAATCAAATTCAAAGTTTGCGTATCCATATGATTACCATCCTTCCTACCAACAAGCTATCTAAGTACAAATAAACAGTATCTACTGAAGTGCTTCGACTTTTAATGATGTGTTAGAAACATTTGTGATTAAGATTACCAGAAAGACAAAAACGATGTAAAACAATTAATTATTAAGCATATGTAATATTATATTCTTTAAAATTAAATATATCCTATAGATTATTAAATGATTCCCTCAAGTGAAATCTATTCCTTCACTAGTATCCTCTTAATGATTTCGATTGAACGATTCGATCCACTTTTAAGATTTCAGAGTATAAAAAAATTAGTAATTGGGTATGCAATCTTTCGGCGGAAATCTTTTTATGTGCCTTACGTAATAAAAACTTGATATCCGATCACAGAATATTAATGAAAAATTTAAAAATATGGATGGTTGAATGGCATGCAATTCTAATACTAAAGGTGTGAACCGAAATTTTCCTGGAATTTTTCATTCTTTATATTAATTAATCTGCGAAAAATATGGCTTAAATTTTGGGATGCATTTTCCTCTCAGATTTTAACTAATTTTTCAAAGGGCAAGAAACAAACAGAATTTTTGAAAATCTCAATAAAAAGATGAGAAATATGAAATTAATCGTAAAAAGTAACGTAAGAATCATTAGAATCATTTGTAGTTGAGATATTTGATGTTCAAGTGAAACGATGCTGCTTTTACTTCTCTTATTCCTCCTCCACCCTTCATCTTAAGTGCCGCGATAATGAATAAATGTTCCTTACAATCCAAAGAATTTCAAGAAGCAAAATTACTTGCTAACTTGCGTAACCTATACATATTGCACCTTTCGCTAATAAAACGAATGAACTTTCTCAAGTACCGCTCTCTGCATCTTATTAAAGACATCAAAGGTTGTTACTGCTATAAACAGTTACATACATATTAAAAGGTATATCCACGAATCTCATCGATTAGTAATTATATAAAAATTATTGATAAATCCAGAACTAATTGATTATTTCCTAAAAAATCACGAGATTTCATAATTTTACCAAAGATAAGAAAAAAATGAAGTTGATTAGTTTTAAAAATCTATGAGAAGATGTCTGGTACTAAAATAAAAAGTTTTGTGGCATTAAATTTACATATCTAATTTTCATATTCATTGGGCCCAAAAACATTGTTCAAAAGAATGTTAGTAATCATAATAATAATCATTACGTCCACATTTTAAGAATGGAAAATACGAAAAAAAAGAATGGCACCGAGTTGTTTCATTCTTAAAATCCTTCATATCCACTTCCTTCCCAGAACATGAAATGTAAAACACAGAAAAAATGTTAATTCCATTTTATTAAAATGTACATTATTAAAGAAACACCACTGGAAATAAAGTATTAATAAATTCTTGGCAACAATTTTACTTACTGCCCCAATATCTTATTTTCTTATATGACCAGGAACCAAAAGCAAGTGAAAAATTTTCGTACATTTGTCTAATTCAAAATTTTCCCAAAGATTAAAAAAAAATCCAAACAATTAAGCGAAATCAAAAACTATTTCCAACAATATCGAACTTCTGTGATTTTGAAAATACCAAGATATCCGGAACAACCGGTGAAAACATCAAAAAAGCAGTAAATTAACAGAAACCTTGGTGAACCAATAAGAGTAACACAAAATATCGTAATCATAATTCATTGAATATATATGCATCGAAATGGTAAAATTACCACTGAATTATTGGCTATCGCTGGTGAATCGTCTCGTGCTATATTCTCAAGTTAACCTAGTGAAGAGCGAACATCTAAAAAAATTTCTGTTAAAAATTAGAAAATTCTAACGAAAATTGGATTGTAATAGCCATAATCCACATTTTGCTAAAAAAGATTATTTTCAAAAACAAGCGAAAATCATTTAAAATTTTAAGGATTCTTAATAACTCACCACCAATTTATTTAATTTTTATTAGGATAATTTGGGAAGACAACAGAACACTTGTGTTGTTTTTTATATTTCAAATGATTTTGGAGGTAAGTTACCAGGAAAATATCAAAAAGACGATAAATAAGATTCCAATGAAAGAAATATTAAAGACATTATAGGTATAAATGAAATGACCAGCAGAATTGAGAAATTAAAACGCCTAAGAATTAAGGAAAAAATGAAAGGAAGATAAAAAACGAAAGGAAGAAAGTCATAAAAAAGACAGTGAGAAGGAACGAGAAAAAGGACTGGAAAGGGAAGGAAAAAATGAATAATGATTAAAAAATTTAATTCTAAATGATGAAAATATATTAAAAAAAAGTTCTCATAGCTGAAGCTCATCAACTCATACTTGTCGTTTTTATCGCTAGGGTTGAATTACTTTTGAGAGTATTTGCATAAAGGACCTCGAGTTTATTAATGGAAAATAGAGATCAGCTTACGCCGACTGTACAAACGATTCAATACCGTACTCTACGTTCATCAATATTCTCAATTTTGAACATTATATTGTACATATTCATACAGCTAAACAAATGGAATCTCGAGAAAGAGTATCAAAAATTCTCATGACGAAATTTATGAATTAAAAAAAAGAGAAAAAAATAGAGTAGAATTGCTCAAATGAGAAAAATTACTCAAGGGAGTAGAAATGGGTAAAATTCAAGAAAATGATAACGAAGAAAAAAAGAGGAAAAAATTAAAAACACAGCAACATTTGCAAAACAATACAGCAATATTGCACATTGATTATGAACCTTCTAAGGCACTGAAAACAGCGAGAAAAATTGCACCCATCTTTACTTCAATTAAACAAATATTTATTAAAAAAAATAAATATCACTTCTGAACAGAGGAAAATAGACTCCAAGACTTTTTTGTTCGAAAAAATTATCAATTAACAAAAAAAGAATGGACAAATAGAAAGTAGAAAAAAGAAATCAAATATGTTGGCACTTATAAATAAACGAAAAAAAAGAAGAATAATTTAACTAAGATATGATAAATTACACGTAAACTATTGCAAGAATGCCCAGTAGGCTATTCTTTGATCAACATTTATCCGCACGAGATATGATCAACAAGCAATTTTCGATAAATTTTCATATTTCCCAGTGTTTCAAGTTTCTTAAATTATTGGTTTTTACTTTTATGATTTCCAGTTGCTTGCTAATCATAATTTTCATGCCTTATACTTCTAAATTTCTTTACCGATCTCTTACGACGTATTTCTTTTTTTCGCTGCATCCAATTTGCAATTTTTTTCTACTTCTTTATTTCGTGTTACTCAAAGATTCGGCAAAGAACTTGGATTGTTTGAACTAGAAATATAAAATTTTTAGATTGGTTTTTAAAAAAAGAATTAGATAAGCGCATAATCAATTGATGTTGAAGATGGCGATTCACATATACCAAATTGTTTGTACAAAAAATTAATTTTTGTGCTCAAATTTCATGCATTGAATGTATTGAAATTTCTATCGGATTTAATTTATTTAATTTAATTTATTTATTCAAATAAATTCTTTAGCTAATTTTGATCTTCAATAAACAATAAAGAACCTGTAGATTGTTTGCTGGTACGGATATTCGTTGAGATTAGTGGAAGGTTGAGCAGTATACATATTGTTATACACACTGTAGTTGTCAATAAGATTACCGATTCGGAAGGCTGCTGGTGTGAGAGTAGGAAGCGACGATTGTGATAGGTCTGTCATGCCAGACACACTGTTGTTAGAATAAATTCCAAAAGAAGGATATTGAGTTGCATATGGATTGAGCTAAAAGCTATCATCTAACTAATCATGAAAAAAAGAAATTAATTATGTTGCCATTTTAAATTACTAAGATTGGCTGGGGTATTTTCCGCTTTTTAAGCAATTTTACCTTCGTATTTTTTGCTCGAAATTTGTAAATTTGTAAGAAGTGCTTAAACGTTTTTTAATACAGATATGAAGAAAATACTGACTGGTACTGTACCAACAGCAGATATGACACTTGTCGGTTGGCTATTTGCTGAAGTTCTTTGAGATGAAGTCGATGAAGCGATTTGCTCTGAGGTGATATCTTGCTGTGAAGTACTGTTTTGGAGTGATTGTTGAAGTAAGACTGACTGGTCAATATTTGGTCCTGTATTTGTTTCTGCCTGAATAATGGAACTTTTAAAGATTCAGCTATCTCGTTATCGTTATGACAAATTCTTTCTTTCAGCAACGAATTTTGTGCTTATTATAAAACCAAAAAATACAAAAAAAGCATAGCAAAGATAAGTAACGCAGAAAAGTAGAAAGTATGAATTTCTTAAAAGAAATATTTCCTACTTCGCTAGGCGGTGAGCGAGTAATTGCTGGTGCTGGAACTAAGTTCATTTTTGCTTCATTATTTCGAGGTAACTTAGAATCTGCTGCTTCTGTTTCTTGTTCTTCTTTTATATGATTCGATCGAGAGCTATGACCGTGCTAAAATTTTAAAACAATATTTTTCAAAATATATATGAAATATATGCGCGAGATAGTAATCCGATTAATTTTTTTGTCATGAACATACGTAACCTGTGGCAACAAGGTTTTGCAATTTACAAAAAATATAACCTTTCTATTTTTCTGTTTATCGGCGATTTTAAATCTCTTTTGTCGCCGCAGATAACATCCATTTTCAAACATATTTCCACAGTCTTCATGCAATGTCCAGAAGCTGCCTTTTCCTGGCTTATCTGGCGTCCTAAATCCCATCCATCAGACTTATTTGTATTCAATTTTAGAGGAATTTTATCAATGAAAAAGTTTTCCTAACTATGAAATTTGATAAATAATCAAACATTATGCAGCGTTTCTTGCCAATGCTTTAAATAAAATGAATCAGATGCTAGTTTTTAAATATGAAATTGTTTTTCATGAAAAGTTTTTCATGAAAAAAGAAAAAATAGTCAACTCACCTTGGAACTTTAACAAAACAGTCGTTAAAGCTGAGTGAATGTCTAATTGAATTTTGCCATCTAAAATTAAATAAAAGTATTTTCTCGCAATATAAAATATTCATTCATAAACTTAGTCACTTCTGTGGAAAATAAAGATTCAAGACACTGACCCTGCTGACCTTTGTTGATTCTGTCGGTAATATGCATAATTGTCCATAATGAATTGATAAATTTCGGACAAAGTAAGCATTCTGGATTCTGACCGCTGTATAGCCATAGTGATAAGGGAGATATACGAGAAGGGAGGTTTGGCATTTCCAATTTTACCATTGTAAGTTCGCATTTGAGCCTAAAAGAAATATCACTAAATTCCAAGGTATGAATCATATTTTTATCCCTTAAATGCTAAATATTTTTATTAAACAAATAAAACACATAATAGAAATATAACTCGATAGTTCGACAGCCTAGGTAAAAAACTTTTAAAAAATATCTGTAAATGTTACAAGTTCAGCTTGAGTCTGTTCATTGAAGGTTACTCTAGATGTTCGACAATTTGGTGACTGTTGTTGTACTGAGGAAGAGGTTGAGCCTCCAGCAGCCGTTGAGCTATTTATGGATGAATTGCGTGAATTACTCAGAGGTGAAACAGCCATTCCGAAACTATTGTAAGCTAAAACTATTGTTTTTATTGCATAAAAATAAAAAATTATAAAATAAACCCAATTGAGTTGTAAAAACAAATGGTGATCCCTATCAAAAAAAAGGATAATTCACATGGTTGAATTTGGCTTCCTGCAGTCATGTAGTTAGGTGTATAGTATGATGGCAAATTTCCATTTGATATGGCGTTTGTCGATGGATATTGGCCATATTGATATGGGTTCAATGATGCAGGATAAGAGGACATAACATAGTCTTGCGATGAGCTGCCCTACAAATTGACCAATTTAGTAGTAAAAGAAAATTATTCATGAAGTGAAAAAATTAAAAATTAGTTAGCCAAAGCCACCAAAAATAATGAAAATTTTAAGGATATATTCAAACTCAAATTTGTGAAATAAATCAATAGAAACATTTTAATAACGTGGATAAGTGATAATTTCTTGTAAATTAAATAGTTTTGGCCACTTTTCTAATATTCTATTCTTTTAATACTTATCAAAATATTCAGTAATTGGTACTTAATAATTCAACTGAGAATTCTGATATTCTAAGTCAAAAAAGTGGAGGAGATTGGTTCTTATTGCTCTCTATTGGTTATTGGTCCTTATGGCCTTTATTTCATTGACTTCACTTCGATCAAAATGAAAAGAAAAAAAACTGATTGAGATGAAATAATAACAACCATTTTGGCTCGAATCGCAGCCGAAGCTTCTATCTTTCTGATGGGATCCTTGGGGTAGAGACCTCTATGCTAACCCGTTCTACCTCATATATGAAAATGTCTCTATAAAAATATATAAATTGACCATAAAAACAATATGATTGGTACAGAAACGTGAACTGAGTGGTTCAAATTTGATCTTTTGATAAATAAATCGAAGACAAAGCAATAAGTATAGAATGAATAATATTGGGCATTAAATTGCTTATAAATTTTTTAACATTCTCAAATTCTATTATCAATATAAAATTTTAAAAGTTCTATATTTTTATGAAATAGAACCTTCTGATCGCTGTTAGAATCACCTGATAATCTGAATAATCGAATGATCTTATAATACCCTTTTAAAACGAATATTAATACTGTGAAATGCCATTCTTAATTACCTGTTTATGGTTCTTTCGAATAATTTTGGATAGTAAATTGCTTAACATTTTTTTAACATTTTCAAATTCCATTATCAATAAAAAATTTTAAAAAGTCAAAATTGCTTATTCCAGCGGTAGAAAATATTAAAATAGAATTAGGAAAAATGCTAAATGAACTATTTCGAGCTTCAGGAAAAATTAATGAAATGGCAACAATATCGCCCAGGGATATATTTATTTATACTCATATTAAAGAAAAAGGAAAATTTTCGAGAATTTATGAGAAAAAATAAAAAGGACATGAGTAATACTATTTGTATCAAGTTTCAGATATCTCATTAAATTGCTGTTCCACTCGCAATTCGGATACTGACTGAAAGCAATAATAAATATTTAGCCGAACTCAACATTTTAATATGAAAATGTGCACTTGAAACCACTAAAAAATTATTTGAGCAAACAATTTCATTGAAATCATTGAAAATTTCAAATTATTAAAATTTTTTTATTGCTATTAATCTACAATGATACCGACAGAATTTTCAGAGCGCAGCGTGAAGCTGTGGAAAGATGTGTGCGATGGTTATGCGATTTATGTGATATGATATGCAATTATTATGAAAAGCCAATCAAACTTTAGCATAATATAGTAAAAAATTAAATAAGATATTTTGACTACGCTATAATGGCAGCAAAATTCCATTATTACATATAAGCAATGTACCAGATCAATTTCCTCGTTATAATAAAATAATTACTGTTAAAAGAAAAAAATATAAGGATGCTTGAAGATTAGAACTGGCCAAATGGATTATGTGTAGCATTGCTTAAGCTATCATTTCAAGCACGATGGCTCAGCTCTTTCCATTTGCATAAAGCAATTGTATTAAAGGCATCGAGTGGTGTTGAGAATACTTTGCTTTCGTGCAAATGTCTGGCGAAAAAGGCTTGTGTTATTAGCGCAGTGCAGAAATGGTGCAACAAGTAGATTTTAAGAAGAAAGGCATGGTTTATGTATGTATAATGATGTGGTAATTTTTCATAGTTTTCATAGCCCTTCTTAGATCGATATCGAAGCACTTTGGTTGATGTAAGGGAAAGCGGCACCTTATTCTGTGAATTCAATGGGTTTGAAAAGCGCTTAGCTAACTTTCCATAAATTATCACGTATATCGTACTCATAAGCTACATCACAAGTTCTGTAGTTGAAACGGTTTTCAAAATGCCTTCGTTGAGCACAAATTCACACATTTCCTTTTAAATTATTATTCCTTCTCGCCGACAATCGTTACTACTCTCATCAAGAATTTACGAAGACTACGGTAGATATTGTCTATGGTATATATTGAATTTTTAAAAGGTAGTAAATAAATCTTTAGGCTGAAATAATCTTGAATTAAAGGAATGGAAAAAAAGACGTCAAATCACGGCTAAAACAAGTCATTATGCTTTGCATTTATGAGATCGTCTCAAAACTATTATTTTTATAATATTTCGCCTAATAGATTAATCATTTTCCTTTGAGTAATTTCCATGGAAAACTTCTTATCGCATCGGAACTAAAGAGGCGACGAAATATGAAGAAGCTCATAATCTAAAATATACGTCAGAGAAATACAAATATTAGCATAAGAGGTCGAAGTTCACAGTCTGATGATTAGTTGAGAAATATGCAAACTAATCTCCTGTTTGTAAATATTTGTCCTAAAATGGGGAAGACCCTTATGGACAACATCAAACACTTGTTTGTCTACTCATGGGAAAAGGCGATGAAAGTGGCGAAGGGGAATACCTTCGCTTGATTAATTTTACTATTTACATAACAGATTCTAATCAATACAGACAATAAGTTTTGCCATGATAGGTATTCTTAACGAGCGGCTATCGCTAAAGAAACAACTTCACTTATTAACTAAACTTTTAACCTCCACAGATCTATTTGTTTTTATGAGAAATTGAGCATAAGCAATAGGCTCAAAAAAACGAAACACTAAACAAAACTTCTCACCGTGAAATGCTTTTATTCTCTGTGATATCAGTGGGCTCCAAAAAAATGATGAGGAAAATAATAACCTGAGCAAGTGAAGCAGACTGAGCTTGATATAGAGCAGCGGAGTCAAGACCAGTTACTGCTGATGCAGCTGCTAAGCCAGTTGTGCCGGATAGCATAGCATTCATGCTAGCCGATGAAGTGCTAGCGGAAGAAAGACCAAAAACGTTTGTCGGTTCCAGGATTGTAATCTGAAATTTTGTCTTAAAAATTTTTCTGCGTTTAATAATAAATCGAGATAGAACGACCAAGGAACTAATATGATATCTTTATTCACAATTAGTCAGATTTCGGATATGTGAAATATTGATTCAGTTGCTCAAAGTAAACAAATATAAAGCACAAAATACGTTTGGCTTTTTATGCATGTAAAATTTCTTCCTTATAATGGAAAAATTTTGTAATTATAATCGTGGCATATGATTGAATCGAGTTTTAAAATGAGGAACATGGATTACAGTGCTAACTGGTAATAACAATACATCCATTCTAAACCCTTTTTTTTGAATCTTTTATTAGTAATAGAATCACTCTAAAGAAATATGCTTAACGTAATTTGGCCTCACCAGATTCAAATTTTCAAAAAAAAATGTAAGATGGAAAACTGGTAAACAAACGAAGGTAAGGTAGCAAAAATTTTAAAACTTTCAATTTTATGAGCCCACCGCAAAAGTAATTTAATTTTTTGATCAACAAACAAGGATTTTTTCAATATAATCTAGAATCTATCCAGAGATATATTTTCCTTATACTACATTTTAATATAGAATAATCTAATCTATTCTTCAGCTTTGCTGATATTAGACCAATGACATGCATATTATTATGTTATGATCAATCAAATAAAAAAGATGACTTTAACTTTAACCATTATTTATATGGGAAACTAATAAATAAGGCATAATATCGAAATTTTTCATTTTTCTTTATCCGGCTACATTTTATTTATTTTCATTATACAAGAAATTTAAAAAATAAGAGAAAAATTTTAAAATTTAAAATTTAAGAATATTTTTTAAAAAACATTGATGAAATGTTTTTTGAATTTTGAAAAATGTATTTTTCACTCGTGACTATTTAAACCATCTCTAAAAAGATTTCAATAAGGATATTGAAAGTTATGTAAGAATGAAATTATTAGTTAGACGCAATTCAGGTATTAATATTTCTTAAAAGTCTAATTTTTTAAATGGCAGAGTTTATAAAACTATTTTTCAAAATTTCAATGATAAAGTTGCCGTGAATAGCGAATAATAGGTATTGGATGAGGGTGGTACAAAAAAATTGCGCTTCCGAAAAGACACATTTCTGTTGTAGCGGTAGATTGTCAACAGCTGAATACCGTAGACTAACGCCATTGTTGAACTTCTAGTCTGCATCTTTCATATAGATCTAATTTTCAACACGACTTTACCACAAGATTTCTCAATTACTTTGTAAAAAAAAGCAAATTCTTAAAATTCTTAAGTTTTGTGAAGGAATTTGAATAGTTTAACTTTTTCTCATTTCTACAGCGCAGTAACGAAGTTTTAAAGTCTTATGAAAACATTAAGAAACGAGAGATGTGTTTCTCACAAATTTTATTTCATATAATAGATAGTTATCACACAAAATCGGCGATATTTTACTAATATTTTAAAAATAATGAATGAATGAAAAATCATCGAAGAATAATTTAAAAGTCAAACTCCGATTTTTATGCTTTTCGCTATTTATCATCATTATTCAGGCGATGAATAAGTACAAGTCATTTTAACATCAGCCTTAAGTGCCTTAATTAAATACTAGTAAAATTTAAGGATCGTTTTGGTCATCCTGAGGCAAGCAATTATTTGAAAATTCAAGATTTTTCAGTCATTAAAGGCATCAATCATACAACAACCTTAAGTTAGATTTGTCATCAATAATACGGTTTATTCATACGAGGTCACTATTTGTGATTATTTTTCTATTCAAAGAAAATACTCTTAATTTTTATTATTAAGAAAATAAACATTAATTTATTTAAGTTAATGATTTCCAGAAAATAAGCATCGCTAATAGCTTACAAAACTGAAGTTTTAAGTTTGGTGGCTGATTTTTTAATCTTTATCTCGACTTAAATTATGAGTAATTGAAGACTGAATAAAGCTGACAGTGATTCTGCTTATTAGCAATACCTATCAAGAAATATCTGTTCAAATTTAGTAAGGAAATAAAATAACCTATTTTTTACGTAAAGAAAACTCTAGTTATATGAAATTTATCTGAACATTGTATAAGAGAATCAATTCGAAACCTTTTTTTAGTTCAAAAGTAGGTTAAATTTGAACGAATTAATTAAATGCTTTAGCATTTTATGAAGGAAATTTAAAATATTTCTATAAAGCAATTCGCAATGAAAATTCTTGGAAGTCTATTCAATACATCGCTAACATTGAAGGTAATTTGTATATAATTATATATTAAAAAATTCTTTACAAAATTTAAAAATTTTTGCAAAAATAATAAAATTTTTTCAGAAAAATTACCGAAAAACTTCTGAATACTAATAAATAAATTCTGAAAACTTCGCTTTATGAGCAGAAATTTGTGAAAGGTAAATGACGAAATGAAAGAAAGTCGCTGGAAAAAAGTAAGGTTTCGAAGCGTACTTCAACTAATATTGCTAATAAATCTTTTTACCGATTATCAAAGCACCTCACTCAGTCTTACTTTTCTCCCTTTTCCCCTTCCTCGATAATAATGGACTTTTATTAGCAGTTGGGCAAACAACGCACCAGTTTTGATCATCATCGGTGGAGCTGCGGAGAAATATCGTCAACGAGCAAAAAGGACAGGGCGGTACCTTTCGGCTCAAGGACCACCTTTGTTTGATTTGATTGGCTATTGGCATTTGCTATCGTTTCGCTTCTTAGCTAAGGCCCAGTTTAGAATATTTCCATATACCTTTTCACAAATATATAAGGGATCAATGCAATTTTAATTGAACTTTCACCAAAATTTGCGATATATTGTTTCATTAATAAGTTATAAATATAAAATAATTATTTTAGTTCTTCACGTAAATATTTAAGTTTAGGAGAAATATCGAAGGATCGCATACAACGCACGATAACATTCTACAAGGATCTGGAATTAAGGAAGTGGTAAGATATTGTTATTCAGTTGATGAAAATCCTATTTTCTTCTAATTCTAACCGCTGATAAAACTTCTTTATCTATAAATTTTCAGCCAAAGCCTCTCAAAAGTCCTAATTCTTCTTTTAAAATAGTTTTTCATCAGTCAAAATTATGATTAAAACAGTAATGACTTGTCATTTAGCTACTTTAATTTATGGTTTGTTTTTTATGAATTAGTCGTTTCACTCGTCATTTAATAATAAAAAATTGAAAAAATTATTATAGTTGCGCTGTTAGATGAACGCATTATGCAAAAAAAAAAAACATTAAATCTGCTCATGCTTCATTATTTTGTACCAATCTGCAGTATCTAGACTCAGTTGAATTAATTAATTACTTCCACTTTTTAATTTACTATAAAATCGTGATAGTATGGAAATGTTTCAACAATCTCCTGCGCGAAAAAAGGAATTTTCCTCATGATTTGCACTGTTTACAATTCTACTGATGTTTGTTGTTTTTTGCTTATTTGGATAACTTTATAACATTTATTATATTTACATATTTATGCAAATATTTGTATTTTTTTTCACTGAAAATCTTAACGGTCGTCTGCAAAGGAGGATTTTCCCATTATTGTCATTTCTGATATTCACATCGTCATAATTTCACATGAAATGGTGCCTGAACTAATGAATTCCGTTTGACTATTTTCGATTCCAGATTCACAAAGCCCATTTGCAACAAATAAAGTGGCTGAAGCATAGATCCGCTTGAAGGAATTTTTTAACCATTCAGCAATGTTCATTCAGTTTCATATTGAGCTGCAAATTAATTACCACCATTGTTAATAATTATAACCGTGATTATCACCGATTTTTCTTCAAATTTTCCAAAGTTCCAACTATTCATTTTTGATGACTAACAAGTATAAATTTAAATTATACAGTATAAACTTTCCCTATTAAAAGACAGTATTATCATTTTTATCATTTGAGAATAAACCGGAATTGATCGCCCAGATCTTCACACTTGGGAACGGTGAATTATTTAAAAAAGGTGGTAATTTACCAAAATATTGTTTTTGGGACATTATTTCCTTCATCTAAATAGCTTTTAAACAACAGAAATTCATTTAATATTCGGTCAGTGCAAGATTATAAGGCAATCATAACTATGTAGGGCTAGAATGAATAAGAGAACTTACAAAAACAATTTAAAAAAATATTTCTAAAGTTTCTAAAGTGCTCACAACGTACGCATTGGTCTTATCATCGTATTATAAAAGTTTCCAATGCACCAGCTCGCTCTCCTTTTTTCGTCATCTGATTAATCAAAACTAAAACATACCAGGCAATTTAAATTTGCAATATGCAATCAAAAGGCTTAAAATTCTTGAGCCCATACATAATTTATTTAGCTTGTCTATTATTTTTTATTTATTTATTAAATTTACCTCAAATCTTTCTTTTCAGAACTGAATGCCTAATAAACGATCAGGCATCAAACAATAAATACTTTAATGTTTTTAGCAGCTAAGCAATGAAAAAATTGGATGCATCCGTCGAACAATCAGGAATCAAATTATTATTGATTGAATCGTAATGCACAAATTAAAAAAAAATCCATCGTGGACAATTTTTTTAAAAAAAGGCAAACTTCTAGTCTTAAAAGTCTATAATAATTCTGCTTGACTTGATGACTCGCTGTTACTCGCTGTGATAAGTGATATCAACTTGGTACACTGGTTTATAAAAACAAATAGTATTTAGTAAGGAAATGAATAACAAATTTAAAATTTTTCACCACTTCTTAGTTCTATTATTCCTAGTATTAAAATTACTTGCGAAATGACAGTTGTTTGTCATTTTGCAAAAACCGGATTTTTTGTCAGTATCCGAGATTTTTGTCAATAATTAAACTTGAAGATGATAGTTGCAAAAAACCAATACTTAGATTAAACATAAATTTGGGTAAAAAATGCACAAAGTTTAAGAAACTTTCCTTTTAGATGTATCACCTAAGATCCAGATCACATCAATTTTTAAAGATTTAAACCAATTTTGCAATATTAATGATGAACTTCTCA